AGCTCTATTTTAGGATAAAGCTTGTATTTAATAACAGCTGAATTTCAGCAGTTGCTTTCTCATTGTAAGTATGCAGATTAGGTAGCCAGTAGATATCGACAGCAGCTTCCTGATCCAAGCACAGAAAGTGGAAATAAAATCTGGCCACCAAGCTAGTGTTTTTACAAAATGCTCTTCTCTGACTGAGAACATGGTTCTACGCAGAGCTTTTTTTGTAGAAAAAGTCCAGCAGGAACTCATTAGCATAATAGGCCACACCCAACAACAGAAACTCATTAGCATATTAGGCCACACCCCTGATAGCACAGCTCATTGGCATATTAGGCCACACACACCCATGTTACCAGAAGTGTGGTTATCCAGTCACACCCACCTTTTGCTTCTTATTCTGTTTACTTTGTTGTCAAAACCCTGTTTTTTTGTAACAGGAACTTATTTGCATGTTAGGCCACACACCCCTAATGTAGACAATCCTAATGAGTTTCTGCTGTTAGGTGTGGCCTATTATGCTAATGAGTTCCTACTGGGCGTGGCCAACTCAGGAGCCAGCTGGAACTCTGTTCCTGTGCGTTCCTGCCCAAAAATAGCCCTGGTGCTAAGAATGTCAGAATTGATAACGTGTAGGAGACAGAATTCACATTCCCTGCCCCTACCTTGCCCTCCTAAATAAGAAGACTAAAACTACCAATCCCAGCTGTGCAAGCAGAAATAGTGTTACAAAGGGTTATGGTTTGATCAGTAGAAAAGAAAAACTGTGATTTATCAGTCAGAGACCTGAAGCTCTGTTGGCCCAATCCCATTCTAGCCATAAGCCAACTAGTTGCACGTAGCAACGGGTGGCTTCTGAGGGGTACTGTGCATCTCCATGGGCATCAAATGACACATCCCATCAGTTCAGTGGGGCTGGTAAAGAGTACTGCAGTGTAATTACAGATTTGTGACTATCCCATTGCTCTGAATGGTGCAGTCCTCTAAATTTTATGGGACCAACCCCCAGGTAAAAGTCCAGAGTTATAACCCACTCCTGTTGGATTGCACCATGGGTTTATTGGTCTGCACTCTCTTTTTGAGCACTACAGAGATTGATTCAGGGTGTTGTCTTAATTGGATTACTCTAGGGAAATGGGATGTTTGCTCTATGCTTAGCAATGGTTAGTTTTCCTTAACCAGGATTAAGTAATATATACGAGTACCATGTGATGAAAGACTGCCTGTAATGTAGAAAGTAAAAGCATGGTTTGAAGCAAGTTTACATACCACAGTTTGCATTAACCATGACTGGGCACTGTAGTAAGTGAACTACAATTAAATCAATTTCCCCATCTCTCTGTTTCCAAGAAGACAAGCAGATCATGTTGACATGTGCTATATATGGTCTGTAGGGACCTACAGCCTAGTTCTCTATACAGTGGGAATCTTGATTAAGAACTCACATGCTTAGCGTTAATCATGAGTATGCATACATTGCCTGCTGCCACAAAAGGAGTATAACATAAAAAAGAGTCAGTTTTTTAAAAAATCACTGGATTAGATAAACATTTACCATTCTTAGGCACAAGCACCAAGTTTTAGGCACTAGATCTGGGGCTGAATAAACACATCCCTCCTGGGGAAGCAGTATTAAAGGTCTAGCATTTTCCAAGTTCTGCTAATTTAAGACCAGAAGCTTTTTCTAAAAGCGTGTGCAATTAAAATCATGAATACTGAAGAAAACCAGGAGACATATTCACCCTCAGTTTTGTTTTGTTTTTTAAACAATTCATATTTTCTAGAAAACTGTAATTTTCAAAGGGACTGTGGTATATTAAATCTAATTATTTCCAGCACCATCCTGGTTCCATTTGCTTGTGGGTGTCCCCCCTCCCCCCGGATTTGGGTTCTATTAGCCACTTATTTGCTATTGCCCAGCACCCTAACAGGTCGGTGATTCTGGACTCATGGACTTCTACAAGGACATTTTCTTGGACAAATCCCACTGAAAAGACAGGGACTGGCAGGAGAGGGCTCAGATGCTCTGGAGTAGCTCCCATTCATTTCAGTGGGATGCAAGAGAACTACTTGGCATATTGTGCCCCTTGGGCCATGATTCAAACAGCTGGATGGACATGCTCTGCTCTCCTAAAAGCAGCAACTCCCTGTTTGTGACACATTAAGGAACTTTGGGAGTAGATCCTCATGCAATGGCAAGGAATTGCTAGGTGACCCCCCCCCCCAAAAAAACCCCCAAAACCTCCAAGCAGCAAGCATTTGCACACACCTCGAGTACTCTTTGGATTACAGTCCATATCTGTATTAAAAAACTGCAGTTGCTGGCATCTTAGGGACGCAATGAAATCAGCAGAGGAAGAAAAATAACAGTGTGGGATGCAAACCCCTCAGAGGCTTTCCTTGTACTAACTGGAATGCAGCCATTCTCATGAATGATGACAAAGGGGAAGAGAGTGGCTCTCCCCGTGTCTTAGGAGCAATGCCCTTTTTGCTGGGCATTCAAATGGCCACGGGGTCAATTGGGATCCTATTTTAAAGACTCTTCTGCCCCTCTTCCACTCCCAAGTTATTACATCTGGAACCACAAAAGAAACTTCAACCCTTAGATTCACAATGGTTTCAAAACCACGTAGGCCCAAATGAAGGCACTTGAGTATAGCTCAGAAACGTGTGGGGAAACGATCAGGCTGAGTTGATTCAGGCAGCAAATGGATGTCAGGCATGGCTCCCAAGATACTAAAGAGTTCTCAATCAGTGCTGGGATCTGAGAAGTTAAGGGGGGGGGAGTCCAGGAACTCCTCAGACTTGTTCCCCTTCTGCCCCTGCCAACTAAGAGCTCCTGCAGCAGAAGGGCAACCGACAGCCAAGACTAGGGAGCAAAGGGGTGGGTGACGATTAACCCTTAATGTCCCAAAACCTCAAGCACTCTCGTTAGGAGATAAACCTGATCCTACTCACAGTCAGGACAGTACTAAAAACTCTTTTGAAAACGAAAAGGGGGAAAAAGGAAACCAAAGTGTCCTGAGAAATACACAAACCCAATTAAGCAGGAATCCCTTCTTCAAATACCACCCCCTATAACATGCACACACACTCACTCACGCTTGCTCTTCCTGGCTCACATGACACCCGTATGGCCTCTGCAGTTAGTCCTCCCTGATTGTCAGTGGCATAAGAGCTATTTTCTCATAGGTGTTTGGGCAGGGAAGGTGGGGTACCAAGAAAGGAGAGAGGGGAGAAGGCAAGGTCTGCCGTGATCACAAAGCAACTTTCAAAAACAAAGTGGAAGGGACAACTTCATGCCAGCCGGATTGGGGAGATTTTATGAAGGTGGAGAAGGTAAGACTTTTTAGCACCATTAGGTTGGGGAAAGTGACTGGGGTGGGGGAAAGGAGAAACAGGGAGGAAACATGCAGAGGTGTCTAAAGCACTTGGTACCTTCAAGAGGCTCTCCAGAGAAACGCGCTGTAGGAAGGGACGGATTATTGCACATAAGTCTCCTGCTATTGCGAATCTGGGGAGCCAGCAACCAAGGGCTGGGGGCGGGGGGACGTGCATAGTAACTAGGATCTCTGTTTGGGGTGGGGGAAGCACAGCCATCCCCTGCAAGGTGCTAGATGCTCCCTGGTTTTTTTGTTTTGTTTAAAGCAACCGGAACAGACCTCCCCCAGTCCCCGCCAGTCAGAAGTTTCATCGCCTGCCCCCCCCAAAAAAAACCGGGCTTGTCAAGAGAATAGATGCACTGTGCACCTGGGCTTGACAAGCATGCAGGAATTGGAGATGGGCATACGGCAGCACAGTCCGGACCGCAGGCAGCAGAAGGCACTGTGTGTGTGTGTATGTGTCCCAGGGGCGAAGCGCTGCAGCTGGCAACATGTCCATTCAATGTCCAAGAATCCAGAAGCAACGACACATCACTGGCAGCAGATTCCTCAATCAGTTTATTGTTCCCCTGATCCAGGGCGTGGGGAAGTGGCGAGGGGAAGATCCATGTGGAAGCAAAGAAGGATCTGCGCAGAAGCTCAAATCAGAGTCCAAAGCATCCAGCAAGAACCGGTCCCATTGGACAGGGTGGAGGGCAGAAATCGAGGTCTGGAGCAAACTCTGTTTCTCTCTCTCTCTCTCTCTCTCTTTTGGCTGGGGCAGAGTTTATGCCAAAAAATAAAAAGGTCTCAGTTCACCAGATGCCACCAGCCACATCCTCACCCTCCATCCTGACAGGTTTCATTTAAAACCCCTCTTGCTGCCATTCAAAGTTCAACTTTTTTTTTGTAGATTTCCTTTTTTGTTGATTTTTTTTTGTAGATTTCCTTTTTTGTTTTTTTGTAAATTTGTCTTTTTTAGAAAAAAAATTACCCTCTTGAAATAATAAAATAAATCCTTTCAAAACAAAATCCCTCCCCCCTCCCATCCCACCGAAGAAGAAGAAGAAGAAGTAAAAGTCTGCATTGATTTTTATCCTACTGCTGCAAGGTGGGGCTTTTCTCAGAGTGTTTTCTTACAAAACAACGAAAAATATTCAAACACTTTTGCATATCTGTCCTTTTAAAAAAAGACTTTTTAAACAACAAAAGGAAACAAAAACAAAACAAAAAAATTCAAAGGAGCAAACGTTTCCTCTCAGAGGCGCGGAGCAATCTTTCCAGGAGAGAGAGGAAAAATATATGTCTATATATATAGACATATATAGACATATATATTGTTCTTCTCTAGGGACTTTGTGGCATCCAAAGCGCTTGACTTTGCTGTTAAAGTAAACGCGGAAGCCACACACACGCGTACATGCCCCAAAATGGTTTCCTCATATTAAAATAGTCCTTAGTCCATCTGTACATTTCAGGGTGGGGAACATTATTTTTTCCATCCCCACTCTAACCTCCTTTGGTTCCTTGGTGTCAAAAGTCTATTGTGGTTATTTTCTTTTTTTAAAAAAAAACAACAAAAAAAAAACCAGCAACTTTTTTCTTTGCAGGAAAAAACAAAAAAACAAAAATGGTTCCATCTTCTAAATGCAGCACAAATAAAATAAAAAAACCAAAGTTGTCTCCCTTGAAGTGATTGCTCAGGGTTGAGCCACTCGATCATGCTAGAAGGATGAAAAACGGAAGCAATTACCGGGGCGGGTGGCGGGGCCAGGTTGGACCCAGATGTGGTCTGCGCTGACACAAGCAGAAGAGGATCTCTTGCAGGCGGGAGTCCCATCCGTCCTCCTTCCGCTGTGCCCACTGAGACCATCCCTGCAGGTCTCCGGCCCCAGCCCTTCTTTAAAGGAACAGACAGGATAGGCAGCATTAAACCACAATGAAAAGCAGATCTGAGCACAATCAAGACTCTGTCACAATTTTATTCCGCCCCTCCTCCAAGGAGCTCAGGTGAGGGGTGGGCATACATGGTCCTCTTCCCTATTCCATACAAGAACCCTGTGAGGTAGACTAGGGCTAAGAGAATGCATGACCAGCCCAAGGTCACTTGTGGAGCATTGTGGCTTGCCTGGGGACTGCAGCCTAGCTGGCCCCTGGCCCCAGCCTGACCCTCTCTCAACTACTGCCCCCTGCTGGCTCTCCCTGATTAGCCACTGCAGACTACTCCCACCCACCCACTCAGGCGGCAGCAGGCTGTGCCATGGGCTGAAGCAACCAGGGAGGGCGGGGTGGGTGGGTGAATAATCTCTATATATTCAGGCACAACTGACTGGGAAACTGGATCGAGTCTTTCTGCCCCCTTCTAGTGGAGCTGGGTACCTGGACAGAGGGCACTTCCACCTCTAAGAGTGCAGCACAGTGCGATCCAAAACTATTTGCACCTGTGTTCTCAGCATTTCGCTTAACTAGTTTTTAAAAATCCTATCCTTCCTCCCAGAAAGCTCACGTGCACAGCACTTCTCTCTCCCATAGCCCCATTTTACTGTCACAACAGCCCTGTAAGGTAGGCTATGCAGAGAAAGATAGTGCCTGGTCCACGATCACCAAATGAGAGGAATGGAGATGTGATCGTCTGACATCCTGACCGCTATACATCTTGTGGATTCAAGGGAGATACTGGCAGCCTTAATTTCCAAAAACTAGGATTGCCACACTCAGATCTGGATGGCAGCCTGGCTGCTGTTCCTTACAATGACAATTTCTGCAGGAAATGCTGGAGGAACAAGGAACGTGAAGACATAATATACAAATGCACATGCACCTATCTTTCACATGCCTCCTGAGAGAAACACCAGTATAATACCAGTGGCTCCTGCATTTCAGATCCAGTTTCCCAATCAACTACCTTGGTTCATACCAGAATATCCCATTACTCCAGCTTTCGGCTGAACAAGCCAGAGGAAAAGCAATAGCTCAAAATACAGCCTGATTTCCACAACAAATATTCCCCAGTATTGACTGCTTCTTTCCACTTTTTGGTGGTCACTTTTTTGAGGGTCACATGCCACACCGCATCAATCCTCCCCCCCACCCCCCGGCCTTACCTGTTGTTACTTGTTGTACTGATATGAGTAGGCAGCATGATCCGATGGGGACTCCACTGTCACGTGGCTCTGCTGGCCACTGTTCTCCTGTGACAAAATACCCAGCAAGGGGTCTGGGATTACAAAATGTCCTTCCCCAGAACTCCCAGTCCCGTTATGCTGGGCAAGGTTGAGTCGCCGAGACTCCTCAGTTTGATTTGAACTAAGTGGCTGTGTTGCTGCTCAGGGGGCCTTTCGAAGACCTGCCCTGCTTCCACGGAGGTGGAGTCGAGGACCCTGAGGCCAGGGGGCCAGGTGGATGCCATCCTCCTTATTAGGACGCTCAGCTGCTCAGGCCAGCAGCCCAACCAAGGCACGGCCGGGGGCATTTCTAGCAGGACAGGAATGGGGAAGATGCTGCAAGCTGATGAGTAGCAGCTGAGGAAGAACTGGCTGAGTTTCTTTCTCTTTCGCCCACAGGTCTCCCGGCCTGACGGCCATAGCCTCCTAGCGGTAGCAGGAAGATGTTTACAGAGGCAGATATCTGCTCTGCCTTTAGAAGCCTTTGTTCCCTCTTCTCCTGTTTTATCTATGGCTGTTGTATTTTTGTACTTTTATTACTGTATTTCAAGTTGCTCCGAGTCACCACTGGGAAGAAACATGGAGTGTAAATAAATAGGTAGAAGCGATCCCTTTCCCGTGGTGTCAACAGCCACCCAAGTCTGGCAGAGCCCTCCTCTTAGAAGGCCACTCCTCTGCCCACTCCCAAGCTCACAAAGAGGCAGAACCAGCTGCTGACACTGGGGCGGAGGAGCCCTTGGCGGCCAAGGCTGCTGGGCCCAATTCCAAAGAGACTTTTGCCCAAGCCTCTAGGAATGACAGAATCCATGGGCCCAAGCAATGTTGTTGACCTTCCAGGTGTTGCTAAGTTAAAAAGTGACCCCTGTTAAAAACCATTTACTAACCAGCACCCTATACGAACTCAAGCTGGTCCACCAGGGGTTCAGGTAGAAGATATCTTGTTCTAAAGCTAGAGGGCAGTGGTGAGGAGGGAACTTCATAAAAGCCCCAAAAAATCATGACATGCACTGTTTCCACATGGGATTTCCCCCCACATGGAATGTAGGAAACCCAACTATTAAATGGGAACATTCACGTGATGTTATGCTTATTCTGAGTGTAACTCGTGAGCTTTCCGGGGTTTCCCCCTTTAAAGTGAGTCAATAATAAACCTACTTTGAACAAGTTCAAAGGGGGGAAATGTGAGGTCTCCATGGGGCAATTCATGGCTTGGGTCTGCCTCCCCTTCAGCCCTTTAAAGGACTTTTCTCCACTTTCTCTGCTGAGTCATCCTGTAGCCATCTGGGGCCCAGAGCACCTTCGCATTTGCAGCTTTGCACAGGCGTGTGGCAGAGGAGCACCTACTTGCCCATCCCTACTTGGCTTTGAGCACACAAGCACGGAAAGCATACCAGCGCAAGACCCCTGCATAAGCCGCAGATCCCTCT